TTTGTTCTCCTTGCAGTCCAGGGGACTCTCAAGAGTCTCCTCCAGCACCACAATTCAAAAGCATCAATTCTTTGGCAGTCAGCCTTCTTTATGGTCCACCTATCACTTCCATACATCGCTACTGGAAGAACTTTAATTCCTCCTCACTTTCTGCCATCAGAGTGGTATCATCTGCATATCTGGGTTGTTGAGATTTCTTCCAGCAATCTTAATTCCTTAATTCCGGTTTGGGATTCATCTAGTCCTGCCTTTCACATGATGAATTCTGCATATAAATTAAAGAAGCAGGGAGACAATATACAGCCTTGTCATACTCCTTTCCCAATTTTTAACCAAACATTTGTTCCATATCCAGTTCTAATTGTTGCTTCCTGTCCCACGTATAGATTTCTCAGGAGATAGATAAGGTGGTTGGACACTCCCATTTCTTTAAGAACTTGCCATAGTTTTTTGTGGGCCACACAGTCAAAGGCTTTTTGTGTAGTTAATGAAGCAGAAGTACTGTAGATGTTTTTCTGGCACTCTCTGGCTTTCTCCATAATCCAGCGCATGTTAGCAATTTGTTCACTAGTTCCTCCGCCCCTTCGAGATCCAGCTTGCGCTTCTGGGAGTTCTCAGTCCACATACTGCTGAAGCCTACCTTGTAGGATTTTGAGCATAATCTTGCTAGCGTGTGAAATGAGTGCAATTGCACAGTAGCTGGACTATTCTTTGGCGCTGCCCTTCTTTGGGATTGGGATGTAGACTGATCTTTTCCAATCCTCTAGCCACTGCTGAGTTTTCCAAACTCGCTGGCATATTGAATGTAGCACCTTAACGACGTCATCTTTTAAGATTTTAAATAGTTCCACTGGAATGCCATCACCTCCACTGGCCTGTTAGCCATGCTTTCTAAGGCCCACTTGACTTTGCTTTCCAGGATGTCTGGCTCAAGGTCAGCGACCACCCTATCTGGGTTTATTTGGGGCATCCAGATTGTTCTGATAAAATTCCTCTGTGTAATCTTGCCACCTCTTCTTGATGTCTTCTGGTTCTGTTAGGTCCCTTCCATTTTTGTCCTTTGTAATGTCCATCTTTGCACATGAGATTCCTTTAATACCTCCAATTTTCTTGAACATCAAGGTCAGCAACCACACTATCTGGATTTATTCGGGGCATCCAGATTGTTCTGATAAAATTCTTCTGTGTAATATCGCCACCTCTTCTTGATGTCTTCTGCTTCTGTTAGGTCCCTACCATTTTTGTCCTTTGTAATGTCCATCTTTGCACAAGAGGTTCCTTTAATATCTCCAATTTTCTTGAACAGATCTCTGGTTTTTCCCTTTCTATTATTTTCCTCTATTTCTTTGTACTGTTCGTTTAAGAAGGCCCTCTTGTCTCTCCTTGCTATTCTTTGGAAGTCTGCATTCAATTTTCTGTAACTTTCCCTATCTCCCTTGCATTTCGTTTCCCTTCTCTTCTCTGCTATTTGTAAGGCCTCGTTGGACAGCCACTTTGCTTTCTTGCATTTCCTTTTCTTTGGCATGTTTTTTTGTTGCTGCCTCCTGTACAATGTTACGAGCCTCC